TATTCTCTCCCAAACTCTTAAAACTTAATATGGGTGCTGCCAACAATGTAGATATTATGGAAAGCAAATTGACATCTATTAACGTAAATGTTAGAATAAATTTTTGTTATAAATAAACTAAAGTTTTAGTTTAAAGTTATAAATAAATTAAAGTTTTAGGTTAAGTTCTGTACAATAACAACATTTCATCAACGTTGTAACTAAGCAAAAGTATACTGATATTAGCATGCATCTGATAATTTACATATATGAGCTATGTCCTTATCACCAATCACATATTTTTAATTTGTTAGTTACATGATTAAAAAATGAAGAAAATGTTTTAAATAGTATTCAATAAGATAGTTTATACATAGAAGCGTTCAATTCTAACAATTATGTAAATTTAAATCTTGAAAATCTAAAATTCTTCACTACTTTTTTACTACGCATTTTGCAGCATTCCTTAAATTTAGTCATGGTGCAAGTTACTATTTGTTTAACATTTTGTTTCATTCTTAGCTAATCTTTAAAGCATTACTTTACTTTCTACAGTAAATTTATAATAAATAATATGCAGTTTTATACTTTGACATAAGATATAAAGTAAAAATTACCTGCTATCATCATGAATATCAATTTGAGATATTGAGTTTTGAAAATTATCTCCTCCATAATTATTTTGATAATCGTCAAATCTGAAATATTTAGTAATTATAAGTTTAATTAAAATAAAGGTGGAACTGTAGAAAAGACCCTCGTTTATATTATCGAAGATAAGCGGCTGGACGCAACCAATACTGACGCATATGCTGCCACAGACGCACAACTTTGGCAGAATTTACTGTAGTGGTACTTATAGTTTTTCGCGAATATCTTGGAAACTAAGTTAACCCATTCTTTAAATGTATAGGAAAGAGTTATTCAAAATGTTGTGTTTTACAATATATTTAAAAATCGTTAAAATCGGACAATTCACAAAAATGAGAAAGAGGATTATAATTGATTACATCGTAGAAAATGAATGAAAATAGACCATCGAAATACAGATAATCCGTAATATAGATATAAATAATGTTTATTTAAATATTTACCCATTATTAAATTTTTCTGATCTTCGCCTACCAAATATATTGCGAATGAAATCCCACAACTCCATTTCTTACTTTTTTAATTCATTCACTGATCCAAAACAAACTTACATCATATTGCAATATGTAATATGATAATATAAACAGATCGCTACGTCACGACTAGTTGTGAAAAATCAACATGGCGGACAAGAAAGTTCTCGTCTTGCGCATGAGTGACATGCTATGATGCTCAGTGAGAGACAAAGACAATTTATTCATCTCTGTCTGTCTCGCAAAAACGCAAACTTTGTTGATCTTCCATACTGATTTTTCACGATTAGACACGACTCAATTTTGCGACGGTTTTCCCTAGCGAGTGTCGGGACCTATTTACATATATGATCGTGGTATATGCATATATTCTCAAATTAAAATATATAATCAGATTGTACATAAGTATGCTGCATTTAGACACATACTGCTATATTCATCATATTGTATTTTTAATTCATCCACGTTTCATCCATCCGTGCCATCCCTGTATTATGTCTGCAAACATATAATAAATAGATTGGCATTTACAATATAAGAAATATCGCATACATTTAGGCATCATCTAGGACAAAAATTTAAGTCAGATATAGTCATATAAATACATGTTTATTAACATTTGTAGGGTAATATAATAATATTTAAACTTGTGTTTATCATTATTATAATGACCATAGTTGACATTATTATTAAAATTATATATTTAAGAATATAGATTGTATATTAGTTTTGTCCTTGAAAATATTTTATTTATACGATTTAAAAACGGGATATATGAATAGAATGCAAGATATATGTAGATCACACATGTAAATTCAACTTTTGTAGTAACTCATATAAAACGAAATTAAATTTATTATTTGACAAATTAATATAATTTAAATATAGACAATTTCTATATTTGTAAAGATATTAATGATAATAATAATTTTAATAATGATTCCCTAATAATACAATAATATAATATCATATAATCAAAATTTTATATAGTAAATATAGTGCAAATTTAAACATTTTAAATTGAATAAAAATTAAAAAATTCTAAATTTGATTGAGTACATATTTATTTTACCTTTACAATGAACACAATACAAATAAATATAAATGCTTTTGAATGATAGATTTAAAATTGCCGCCAAATGTCTGTCCATCCCTATTTATATATTAAGTACATAAATGTATACTAGATTCATTATAAGAAAATCTCATGAAATGACAGAATTTGAAAAAGGTAATCATTTTGATGTGAAGCAAGTTTATTAATTACAGTTATTAAAATACAGTATCACAATTTTTATGTTATACCAATATATAAAATCCAGTGGAATTAGATCTTTTGAATCTGTCATATTGTCTGATTGAGTTGTATATACAAATAAATAAATAAATAAATAAATAAATAAGTATTTTATGTATACACGTATGTATCAGGGAAAAGCATCATTTTCACGTAGTAGATAACCATTTGTATTAATTTAAACGTCTGAATTGTCATAATTGTACCATAAATATTTTATTATTTAAATTTATGTGAGTGATATTTTATTATATAAATTTATATCAAACATAAATAATACATTGTATAATAATATAACGAATCAATATAATTGTATATATTTGTAAAATAATCAAAGTAAACCCTTTTGCTTTAAATTAAATTATACTACAAAGTATTAAACAAATTTAATGAACCGCTGTAAATTAAACAAAGTTGGTTTCTTATGTGATTTAAAAATTATATAATGATTTTTATTCCTCTATATCTTTTTTATAATTTATAACATAAATCATAAATTTATTGATAATTATAATATATGTTCGTCTTCCTGTAAATTAAAAATTCTACTTTTTGTTTTAGATCAAAAGAAACTTTAATATGATAAAGTATAAAACATACAGCATAGGATTGCCTTAGACAAAATTAATATCTCAAAGATAAACAATGAATAATATTTCTGGACAATTCCGTAAAACAATGTGGGATCCGTTCCTTATAATATCTCAAATAATTGCAGTCCAGACTGTGATGTACTTCTGTCTTGGATTATGGATTTGGATTGTTGCATCATACATAGGATCCACAAAATCATTAGATTATGTTTTCCATTATAAACAAATACACGTTAGAGATTTTGCTGGACAGTTTATAATAATTATTTTTATCTTAAATGCATTAATTGGAGCAATCGCACTGTGGTGGTTAGTACAAAGGACAAAACAGTGTATGGATTTTGCCTGTACAGCACACTTAATACATTTATTATGCTGTTGGATATACAATGCAAGTTTTCCATCAACTTTTAGTTGGTGGTGTTTAAACATTATATCTTTAAGCATAATGTGCGTTTGTGGTGAATTCCTTTGCATGAAAACTGAATTACAAGCAATACCATTAAGCATGAGCAGTCAGAAAACAGCCTTATAAAAATTTGCTACCAAAGTGAAATTGATGTTTAGTAAACAATATCATTTTATACTAAAAAGTTTAAAACAGATAAATAAAAGACTATTTGTTTTTATATATATATTTCTAACATTAAATATACATTAAAATACATATATAATATATAATTTGACTACATGTATTTGTCCTATTTGTTTAATGATGTTCTTTATAAAAGCGTAAACCACAATATCCACAAGTATGATTACCAGGTTTATCCTAAAATAGAATTATATATTGTAAATAAAATTAAAGAATGTATCTATTTACGTTGTAAATACATATAACTTGTACCAAATTAATGTAAACTTTTGGGTGTCCTAAAGGTCCACCTCCCCCATCACACGCCACAATTTTATCTTTCACTGGTGTAGCAGGAACTTCCGCTATTAATTTAATGGCCCAATTATCATTAACCTCCTTTGGTCTATTTATAAATCGTACATTACGATAATCATCCTCATCATATATCTATTACAAAATAAACGATATTTATTAAAATAAATATTATGTATCGTGGAAAGTTGTAACGATATAAATATATTTTTATCAATATTATTTTACCTGATCAGTATGGGTAACCTTTTTAGCAGATTTTGTAGTTACATCATGTACATTTCTTGTTATTAGTCCTATAATATTAGGTTTATACCTTTTGTTGGAAACTTCTAAAAATTTTACGATTTTCAAATTCGCCATATTTTTAAAAATGTTTTTACACTTTTTTCTTTGAGGTATCACAGCATGTTCATTAGATGCAGGATTTTAACCAAGAATACATATACATATATATATATATCCATCCCAAAGTTAGGCTACGCTACGACATCCACTACAGTATTTGTCGAATTAACATTCTTGTGACTGGGCTTTTAGTGTGCAACAATTTTTTCTGAGGTCACTATTAGAAGAAATGATTACCTTGTCTTTCTTAAATGAAACGTGATATTAATTTCTAGTACTCGGATAGCTCATTCATTTTAACATCGATTTTCAAATAAATTAAATATAGAAAAGCAATACATTTCATAGAATAAATTTTAAACAATATCAATGTCTTCTTTAGATATTTTATTTAGAAAACTCCAACATGGGATTTTATATATACTTTGTACATAATTTTCAGACAATTAAAAACAACCATTTTACATAAAAAGTTAATTATTTATAAAGATTAAATTCTCATAAAAGCAAAGGAAGATGTGCATTGAATAGTCTGTAATATGAAACTTTGTTTACATTACCAAAATGTACAAAAATTAATAGTAAACGGTATAAACAAAATGTGATTCTTATAAAAATAGAAAAATCTCTAAGATGTGAGGTAAAAAAATTATAATACATAATTTAAACATTTTATAATCATTAAAAGAAATATATAAAATATAATCGTGAGTAGGATGAAAATAAATGAAGTGGATCTTTCAATGAATGAAGTGTATATCACTGGATGATTTAATTTCAAAATATTTTATTTATTGTACAATATAACTGTACAAATTAGGTAATGGACCAATACATTGCGATCCTTAAATTTAGTCAAATAATCCTGTAAAAAAAAAAGATATTTATTAAAACAAGTTCTGTTCCCTATAATGTACCGTAATTAAAAAATAATATTCTCATTTTTTTCATGTCATCATATATAATATCAGTAGCTAATACATAATAATAATCATTGAGTATTAATATTTAACTGGAATATTGATATTATATTAGTTATAAATACATTACGTACCAAAGCCCATATCATCGTCAGATTCTTGTTCTTCAGGTTCTTCTTTCTTCTTTTCTTCCTTAGGTGCACTTTCTGTACTAGCAGGTGCAGCGGCTGCTGTGGGTGCTTTAAAAGATAATAAGAAAATAATCTCATTGTTTGAAAATGCAAGTTCATAGTTATGAAAGAAAATGTTGATCTATAGTGTTGTTGTATAGAAATATCAATCACATTTCTAAATATGATTCACAATTTTCTAATACTATTTCTTTTTCCTCTTTTGCTGACCGCTCTACATAAATTTATGTAGTATGGTGGATGTAGAGGATTTGTACTTCTGTGAATGATACTAATATATACATATGTAAGTTTATCATATCTGGGAAGATTAAACTTATTTCATGTATATTTATAATTTTCGATAAAAAATTTTGATAGTGATATAGCTATAGTTGGTGAAAGATATACAACATTCTTAACTAAAATACAAATAGCACACGTTTATGCAAGAATATCTAGGCTCACATTCAGTGTTTTATGTTTTTCAATAGAGATTAAATTGTAGTTAAGTTGTACTTCATACATATATTCTATTTCATATATTAAGATTTGATTTTTTAATCTTTTCAATCTTTCGTTAATGCACTTACTCAGACATCAAAATATCTTTTAAATCAATTCTACATATTATACCTCAACTAACTATCAACGTAATATTTGTACAATCCAATCCAAAATTTACCTATTAAAGTAATCATTATGTGTATCTGTTTACAGTCAGTGATCCGACTTGTTAAATGAAATCAATATGGTATCAAAATAAGCTATCCAATGCCTATTTTTATAGACATAACTTTCGATTCCATGATTTCCTAAATTTGAAACTGATATTTTTAGATTATTAGTTAAATACTATCAAAATGTAAATAGATAAAAAATTTGGAAACGCCTAAAATAAAGCGGTATAATTCACGTTTTTTCCATTACCAACAAATGTATATTGTATGAAACATATGCAGTACTTAGTATATATAAAATAGTAAAATTAATTATGTATGCCATATTTTATATTATGTATAAGGTAGAAATGGTATATGGTATATTATTAAAAATCCAATTTTTAAAACCTGCTGGTGCACTTCCAACTCCTGATCCAATCTTTGTTATCAGTTCTTTTATATTGACTCCTTCTAAAGCCTTGGCGAAAAGTCCGGGCCAATAAGATTCCACATCAACAGCGGCAGCTTTTAAAATTGTTTGAATCTTTTCCCCCTGAGCAATAAACAAAGATTTTAAATATTAGTATTAAATATACTTTGTTCTTATATATTTATTGTACTTTTGTATTTTGGTACTACAAATAATAAAATAAAATTGTCGAATTGCATTGTTGATGCTTACGCAATTTTGGGAAATTTAAACTTCTAAAAATCTAGAAAATGCATATAACATGTAAAAATATATAAAATACCCAACAAATACATTATAGTATTTAGTACATATGATAGAAAATGTTATATTAATACAATAGCAACATAGATATATGTAATAATTTAGAAAGCAATCAGAATTGTATTGCACGTGCACATTTGTAACCAATTATTGTACTATCTGCTTAAAGCCTCAAACAGTGATAAATAATAGCAATAATACATAAAATATCTAAAGTAGAGCACTTATTATAATATTTAATAGATGAAACAAATTTATATTTTGAATCTATTTCTTTAATCATGTTTATAAAAATATAAAATTGCATAAACATTCAGTTTATTCATGATATTAAGAAATCACATGTATGACTGGTACTTACAGTTACAGCAACGTCGTCATCAACAAGTATCAATGTTGAATAAATGCAAGCAAGTTCAGCTTTGGAATTCATGTTTATTGCTTCTATAATATATAGTTAAACTGGATGGGATGATAAAACGGTGCAAGTCGCTGATTTAGCCTTAGCTCAATAAAAGAGAACAAGCACCCGGCTTCCACTTAATCCAGCTAAAAGGAAAGAGAAATGCGTTGAAGGGAAATCACGTGACTTATCTTTGGGCAGCATTTTCAATACAACTAGAGAGCGGACGTAATTCTATTGGTTAACCTCGTGATATAATACAAAGTTATTTCAACGCATTTAAGATATATTTGGGATGTATTTTTTTATTTATCTTATACATCCAATATTACTATTTATCTTATACATCTAATATTACTATTTTTTTCATTATATTATTATTATTTTTCATATTATTATAATATAAAATTTTCATAGAAATATGATGGTGGAGGTATTAACATACTTTATTAAAACAACCTTTTTATCTAGTATTAATATTCCAATGATTTTAATAATGATAAAACTTATTTGAAATTTCTTAGAGACAGGGTATTTTATTTTAAATAAATATAAGAGTTCAAACTTTTAACCGATTAATATTATTTCACATTAATGCGGATATTCATGTAAATAGAAGAGGGCGCCACATATTGATAAGTTTGTTTAATAAGTAGTGCATATATACTCGATGTTCTTCGAAAAGTGCAGATCGATTAGTGGATCATATACGCAATTGAGCTAGTTCAGTGTTTTTGTGAACGTAAGTTGAAATATTTTCAGTTAGAAGGGTGCGTGTCAAAGTGGTTGGTACACCACTAGTTCTCTCACGTTTAAATTTTACTTTTACGGATATCCCGGGCAATGTTCTTTTGTGTTACGTTGCTATGTAGTACGTAAATGAAGCGACGACGTGTAGCGTCGCATGTTAAAAGGATATCGCTTGTGAGAACAATGAGAATGGCGCGCAAATGTTGCGTGCGTAGCTGTGAGGCCGATGTGCAAGATGCGCGTGCTAAAGGGTTACCGCTTCATAAATTTCCAAAAGATATTAATTTAAGAAACAGATGGTTGACTAGTGGTGGATTCGAAGCGAGCTTTAAACCTTCACCAGGTCAGGTTGTTTGTCATAGACACTTCAAACGAGCCGACTACGAAGCTGCTAAAGGACATAAATTACTTCTACGTAAGGGCAGCGTTCCATCAGTTTTTGCAGACTATGACAATCATCCAGGTGTGTATCATTTGTTATTTACTATACTAGGATCTTAATATTACTTTCTTGTGAAATATTGCCAAATAAAAGAATTGTATATCTAAAAGCTTTAATTTACACGTGTCCAAGTTATTATTTTTCTTTCTCTTAATGTCTTTTTTTAGTCAGTTTCATTCTGTTATTCTTCTTTCATTCTTTCATTCTTTTTTCATACATTATTAAATATATTTAATTTATTCCTAAATTTCTTCCTTTATTCAATATACAATTAAATAAATAAAATAAATGAATAAATAAATATATATATTGTAAAAATAATAAATGCATAGAATAGAAGGAAATATTTTTATTTGTTATTACAATACTCAGTTATTATCTATTGAAATGATGTAGTATGCTATGTAATTTAATTATGATCAATACAATGTTTACTGAGTCATATGTGGAATGTAATAGACAGATTACATATTAGCTTATACATACCTTCACGTACAGGACAATTTATGTTAAAAATTTCATATGAATATTTGAGTTATTAATATTATTTAAATGTTAGAAGTAATTCAATTGGACATTACAACTAATTTAATGTAATGTACTAGACAATGTTGAGTTAAAACAAAGGATTTTATTAGAACAAACGAGGTAAAGAACGGCTATGAACAAAGAATGCAATTTATTTATAGGATATGCCTATTATTTTTTTGAATATGTGATTAAAACATATTTTTAAGTGAAGAATGCGCAAGATACATATTTCTTACATATATGAGATACATTTTTATATTGAAATAAAGACAATGTTAGAAATTTTTAATTTTTATAGAGTATAATCGTAAGCAGATTAATCTCACTGCAAATATTCATTAAACATTATAACAAGTATTATACTTTCAGTATTTTCCATATTTTTCCATATTATGTGTATTCTGTGTATTTTTGTACTATTAAATTTCCTATAAATGCATGAAAATTCACAGTCTAATAATAAGAAACAGAATGTACTGTGCAGATGAGAAGATAGATAAGCAAAGGAATGCAGATCTTCTGCATAGTTATTTCTGATAGACCCAATAGAGTCATAAAGATAAGTATTATTGGACAAAGGTATCACATATACAAATATGGCAATAAGACAATAAGACAAAGCATGACAGAGGATAATAGAGATCAGTACTGCTCTTGTCCTTATGCTATCCCTTGTAATCTTCTCACCTACCTGTAGTACAAAACTTTAGACATGGATGAGTAATCAATACACTAAACAGAGAAAAGAAATCTCAGTTTACAATGCAGTAAATAGAGAAAACAAGCTTCAGTGTACAATAGCAATAAATCTGAAATTGATCATTCACAAAACACATTATTGAACATAAGGATTATTCAACCAAATATTAAACCTTTATACAAAAAATAATTATTTCAATTTTATAATTTAAATTTGTAAAATGTCCAAATATTTTTGTGAAAATTCTTTTTTACTATTTCTTCTCATGTTTAAATAATTGTATATAAAGTAAACAGTTTTTTATTATTTATGTCTATATACTGTATTATAATATGTTTAGTACATTATGGTTTCATATTTTATTTAATACATTATGATTCTTTGAACAAAGAAAGATTTAATAAATGTAAACCTAAAGTTTTCTTTTTATAAACATATTTATAGTCTATCTGTATAGTTGTTTGTAATTTCTAAATCTATGTGAAAATTTGTCATTTTAGAGAACATTATATTGGTTTAAAGATCATGAAAACCTTTGTTTTATTCATAAGTAATAATATAATTAATAAGTTTTATGTTGTATTGTGGTATTATTTACTATATGTAATAAAGAGCATAATTGAACTAATGATCACATCTTATAAATATTATCTTCTATTAATATAAATCACTATCAATAGAAAAATTGCACATGAACAAAATATTTTTGAACATTTTGATATTACTCTTATTTATATATATTTATATGATGATAAAAATTAAAATGGTGATTCTTTCATTATAGTTGAAGAACTACTGTTATTACTGTTATTACTAGTTGTAATTAAATCAAGTAAAAATAACAGAAACTATAAAGTATAATTATTTTGTACATTACGCTTGATAAAATTATTTGTTTTTTACATAACTATGTATCAATCTATTAGTTTTTTGAAAAATATTCTTCAAGGCAATCAGCTATTCAACATTGATTGGGCTACCTGTAGTAGAAGGATGAATGAAAACTTTAAGGGGGGGGATAAGGTTTTAAAATCTTTTTTTGCATTTTCTTCATTTTTTTAATTGAATGCATAATATCTTAAGAATATTGCGTCAAAATTTCAAGTTGATTGAAGCAAAATTGACGAAGTTACGAGTATTTTTATACATGTCGGATGATATTACCTACCCGACCCGAGCGTGCTATTGTTATTTCGCAGACAATTTTTTTCTCTATATAATACCTAATCTTACCCCCAGATCTATTTATAGTACTTAACGACTTAAGTACAAACCTCCTTATACCTGTACTATATACTTTGTCAGTGTAGGGTAAAAAATTTAGTGTAGGAGTAAATATTCCATTTTCATTAAGTTTTGTGTTAAATTATTACTAAAATGCCTAAAAAAGTTACTAGATCTGATAGACAATCAACTGGTTCGGGATTATATCGACCTAGAAAAATTGTATCTCCGCATAAACGTAAATACGAAGGCACTTCAACAAGTAGGGCGTCAACTAAAAAAATAAAAGTGACCGTTGAAGATTAAGTTACGAAGGACTTTTCAACAATTGCTACGTTAGTAAAGTGTGTGAAATATGATGGAAAAGTAAATTTTCATACGACTAAGAAAGAAGGCCTTGGATTTAACATCAAAGTGTCGTGCGAATGCTGTAAACAGATTACAAATGTTCCGTCTAGTACAAGAATAAACTCTGGTACTTTCGATGTTAATTATCGGTTTGTTTTCGTGATGAGGATATTAGGCCTTGGATTAGCTGTGAAAAGTTCTGCAGCTTGATGGATTTGTCTAGTAGGTTTTTATCAAAACCGACGTGCAATGATTACGTGAAAGAAATGTGCTCCACTGTAAGAGAAATAGCGAATCGATTTTTTTAATCTGCTATAAAAGAAGAAAAAACAGTAACAGCCGAAGAGCTATCATGGATGATAGCAACATCCTCTATGGACCTGACATTGATGATTCAGTGTGAGGTAAGCCGATAAAATTCGCTTATGAACGTTTTATACCAGATTTTTTAGTGTTCAAAACTTTAAAGCGTTTTCCCCACAACTTACATTTTCAAAGTCGGTGCCCCCAATTACTTCAAAACTACTGCACCGATCCTTTTGAAATTTTGAAGACTATTTCTGTACATAATTTGCGAGGTAACGCTGTAGAGTTTTTTCAAATTTGTTAATTATTTTTATTTTAAAATAACAAATTAGCCGAAAATTTTCGCACAAAATCGCGTTTTTTCCTTCAAAGTGTGCCAAAAAAGTGAAAAATTGAAATTTCGAAAAAATCTTCGCAGCGTTACCTGGGGAAAGCTGTTACCTAACGAATGAACTTTAATTTTTTGATTTCTGATAACCCAGCACCACGTTCTGAGGGGCACCGCAATTATACTTTTTTCCGAGACACGTCCAAAAAATTGCTGCCATTGCCGTATTTTTTAATATTTCTCCGTGAAAATTTTATACAATATTCTTCGAATGTCATACTTTAATGTACTATTGGTTTTAAAAAAGAAATTTTAACTGTATCGTCAGAAAAAATTCACAAAAACATGCCTTTTTTTGTACGAATTAACCTTACCCCGCCCTTAATGAATGAAGATATAAAACATTGAGTGCAAATATGGTCAATGAACTTTTAAAATGTGCATTTATGTGCATTATATGAAAGTATATTTGATAGAATTTAATCAAATTACTGCATTTCATATGAAATTCATAAAAAAGAATAGATAGAGGTATCGAAAATATATCTCATGGTTATTGAAAATATATAGTTAA